AAAGCATCTCCCAGCATGGGGAAGGGCCATGATGCAATTTCTTCTCCTCCATTTTTCCTTCCTTTTAGAATTTTGGACATAAACACACACGTGCCTAAAATGTTTTTCTTTTTTTCTTTCTTTTTTTTTTTTAGATTTTTGCCAAAAGATATGTGAATGTGCTGGAGACAGAAAGAGAAAGTGAGAAATCACCCCCAAGGGTGACTTAACACCTCACCACCTACCTGCTGGTGGTGAAGTAGGGGTGGCCATCCCACAGTCCCCTCTCCTCAATTCTCCTCTTAGGATTTTGGGCATGCACACACACGTGCTCAGCGTATTTTTCAAACCTTGGGACTCTTAACTGTGCCATTGGTCATGTGGGATCTAGCTGCCTTAACCACCACACCATGGGCTGGCCCACAAATACATAGAAAATGCATTCCCCTTTTAGTCACCAGCCTGTCCTCCGCCTATGGTGAAGTCTCAAGGTATAAGGAAAAACATACAGTTCCATTAGAGTTCTGTGGGTTTCATTCATATGCAAAAGCTACTCTAACATAAGAGCATGTTAGAGACAGGATTTGAAGGTATATGGGGCTTTGGCTTCTGAATGCTCTAGTTTATGAAGACCTGTCTCTCTCTGTAAAAGCACAGTTACTCGCACATAGCCTCATAGAAGAAACACCCTCCAGACCCCCTGCAGAGTAGCCCAACAAAGCAGAAAACAGTGGACACAGTACTTTCTGTGTAGAGCATTTCCTGGTTCCCTGATGACAGGCCCAGGTTCCCACCATGAGTGTTCACCACAGCTGCCTGGACAGGTAGACCTTGTAATCCTTTTCCCTCCCCAAGGATAGGGCTCCTCTTGCCTCCTCACCTGTATCTAAAGAAGTAGGAGGCAGAATCATTCTTTGCATATGCCTGGGGAGCATATTTTCTCTCTGTTGGAGGATAAAGAATCTGATCTGAGTTTCTTAGAACCAGGAGTAATTCTATAATTCACCTGTATATGTAAGGTAGATGTCTATCATTTAAGTTCTCTACACAACTTAGGTATCGTCACCTGGTAGTAATAACGGCACCTGCGTGCTACAGGCTGAATTGTCCCCCCAATTTCCCTCCCTCTCCGCCCCAAAATTCATATGCTGATGTTTTAATCTGCTGTTTAATGGTATCTGGAAGGTAATTAGATGTAGATAAGGCTGTAAGAGTGGGAGCTTTCATGATGGGATTAGTGCCCTCATAAGAAGAGACACGGGGGACCAGCCAGTGGTGTGGTAGTTAAGGCCGCTAGATTCCACATGGCCAACTGCACAGTTTGAGTCTCAGACCCAGAGGCTTAAAAAATTTCATGGAGTGTGTGTGCATACATGCCCAAGATTCCAAGAGGAGAATGGAGGATAAGGGATTGTAGCATGACCATCTCCCTGAGATTTCTCATTTTCTCTTTCTCTCTCTCTCTCCAGCAAGCATAAATGCTGGAGCATATTTTTTTTTTTTAAAGAGATATTGAGGGCCAGCAGGTGGCATGGTGATTAAGGTTCTGGAATTCCCACATGGCCGACTGCGGTTCAAGTCCTGGACCTGGAGGCTTGCTTTCTCATTCTCCCTCTCTCTCTCTCTCTCTTTCTCTCTCTCTCTCTCTCTCTCTCTCTCTGTCTTTCTCTGGCAAAACTCAAATGAAAAAGTAATTAATTAATTAATTTTTAAAAAAATAAATAAATAAATAAAATTTGTTTTCCTTTTACCATGACAGTTCAGAGACTCTCAGCAATAGTTACTGAGCCTGCTCTGTGCCAGCCCTGGGTATCTGTGGAGAACAAGCCCAGTAATGCTTCTGCTCTCATGGAATCCTCATCTTCCATGGAGGAGGTGGCCACTGAACAAAGACATAGACTAGGTATGTTCAGGTGGTGGTCTGTGGAGAAAGTGAAGCACGCAGATGTGCTGGAGAGTGACTGTTTCAGCAGGGGTGGCAGGGCAGGCTTCCCTGAGGAGCAGGGGCCCTTGAGCCAACCCTGTCATGCAGGAGCCAACCAGGCAAAGTCCAAGGAAGGGTGAACCGGGCTGTGGGAAAGCTAGAGCAGAGGCCACAGCACCGGCCCCTGCAACAGCTGTCTTCCATATTCCACAGTCGGCTTC